ATCTCTCCCTTGATGCTGCATCTTCTTAGGTTCTTACCTTGATTTGTTGGATGTTAAATTAATGGGATCTCTTGCTTTGTGGATGGCTGAGAGAAATATATAAATAAAATAAAAGGCAGAAAGAAATGTTTTTTTAAGTTTCTAAAGCCAACCAAATCATTCCCAGAAAGTGTGTTCCTGGATTACTTAAAATCTTCTCCTCTAAACTCTTTCTTCACAGATCATCTTTTTTCATAGATATTGTAACAGGATGTCATTCAACTCTTAATTGCAACCAGATCAATGGAAATCAGAGCCTGTCATGTGGGAGTTGTATGGCTGGAATCAGAACACTGGTGTCCAAGGGACATTTTCTTTCCTTTCAGTAAAAACATGAATACTTTATTAAACTTTGCGGAAGTCTGAAGGCTAGATCCCTAACTGGTATAAATCAACATAGGACCATTGACTTCAGTGCAGCTTCAATTTATATCAGCTGAGAATTTAGCCCAGAGGGTGATGGTCTGGTATTATTAAACAGACTGGAAATCAGGTGCAGAGAATGGTGCAGTGCCATTCATTTTAAAGGCCACTCTTATGCAGGTTGGGTCTCTAAATGTGTCAGATTATTTTACAACAAGCTACATCCAATATTTTTTTTTATTGCAAGATAGATATTGCCAACAGGACTAAAATGGCATTAATTTTCTAAGACACACTGGGTCCCGAGAAGTTCACAATCAAAACATTTTTCTTACTGTTTCCCTTCCTCTCCTTTAAATGATTTAATGCTAATTAAAGGTGCTAAATTTAAAAACAAATGAACAAACAAACAAAAACAAACACAAAACTGAGTTACTGAAATCTTGCAGTCATGATTATAGGAAGTAGAATATGGGCTAAGGCTAAGATATCTGCCCAATACTTTTCTACTTTGCTACAGCAGAATCATGTCTAACTGTAGAAGCACAGTTCTTCATAATCTATTCAACATTCAAGACTTCTGCTACAGTTGTTAATGATGGCAGCACTTCAGTAAAGCATATGATTGAGTCCATCTAACCAACTGAGTGGCAAGATGACAATTTCTATATTCTGTTCTATATTATGTATACATTAATAGAACTTGTCACCTTGCCAGTCCAGTTAGTGTAATACCACTTTAGGTGTGGGAATTACTAAGTCACTAAAGGAAAGCAAGCTGCCCGGCTCCCAGTAACTTTCAATGTGTTCCTGCATTACTGAGGTATTCTTCAAAAATCCACCTTTTGTCAGTATTCTTTGGAAAGGTGCCATGGATTCTAGAGGCTTTAAAATATATAACTACATTCATAATAAATTAAACAAAAGCAGTAATACAAACGCATATCCTTTAGCTATATAAAACTAAGGAAATTCTAGGCATTCCTAGTTCCAGACTAGTAACCAAACATGGCATTTGCTGCACAGCTGTACTATTATTATTCCTTATCTATCTAAAATGTACTTAATTTATTTTTAAATGTTTTGTTTCTTTATAACTAAAAACAATACAAGCTGCCCACAGTCACTGAGATGGCTAAACCCCAGAGCCCTGCACCTCTTTCTAATACTTGATGCCAGCATACAGAACTATGAGATGGCTGTTTTGCTAGGAAGTCCATTGTCGGTATCATTGCATTTGTTCTGCTATGTGAGTCTGTCCCAGATTCACAGTGGATTTTGTCACTAGGATATGTTTTTCACTACATAAAGGGGTAGTCAGGGCCTCCCTGGTTCTTGCTCACATGCTCAGTAGTGCACCTGAGTTACTTTCCAATGAAGCATGATGTTCCTTCTACATCAGTGATAAATCCCCCCAAACATATCCCCAGATGATTCAAGGCTATAAACAGCAAACAGCTGTGAGTCATGGCAGAGACCTGAGTGGTATGTCACTCAGTCCATATATGAAGGACAGTCAAATCAGCTAGCTGTACCTTGAAGTGAGAATTTTCTCTGTTGGAAACTCTTGAACAACCCCCTCTACCCTGAAAACAAACAAACAAACAAAAACAAGCAAACAAACAAAAAACCAAGAAAACAAACAGATGACAGATAAAATACTTCCAGTGAAGTTTTTAGTGACTAATGCTAATCAGGGTAGAATGTCTTGTAATGACTGGCTAATCTTGGCTCATGTGAAGTGCAACAGGAATACCAAAACTCTATACAAATAGCCCTCTTTACACTTTCTCTCCTGCTGGTCCTTGGTCAAGGAAATATTTTCCAATTACGGGAATTATTTCTAATCTCTCATTCAGTATGTAATAACCCATTCATCCATATGGCATGAATGGTAGTTTATGTAGCTTGCTCTACAGTTGGTGAGAGACCAACTCTTCAGCTGCACTTACTACCTGAGATGCTGTAGTTTGTGGTTAACTCATACACCTCCTATATCCAATGGCTTGTGCTTCAGTTAAAAAGGCAATAAAATATATTTAAAATACATGACAAAAATTAGTAAAAGTTATGAACTGTCCTGCTTCATGGCTAGTTACTAGCTAGAATTAGGAAGAAGCTTTCTCTATGGGTAAATGATTAGATTGTATTTTTTCATTATGCTAAGCAAAATGAAGCCTCTCTACAGTTCAGTAACATACAAAAGGCATAGCCAGACAGTTGTAATGTAATTGTCCTTTGTGAAGGTTATGTACCTTCTGCCGCATTTGAGTCTGGACACTACTGGAAATGGGATGGCAGTCCTATGTTCCTAGGAAATATTCAGCCAGATTCACAGGAGTCAAAACATTTTATCCAACTTCAAGACTATTTTGAATCAAAACCATCAATATCCTCCTGTTGCTTCTAAATTCTGTAACAAAGCCCTGCCCTACATTTCTGCTTGGCTTTGGAGTAATTTTCATTAGTTTTATTGTTGGGTTAATTGTTGGGTTAGGTAAAAGCCCACTGGAGCTGATGGTTGTAACCACTAGCCTACAATTAAGACAGTAAAAACAACAGCCTCTGAAGCAAAATGCAGCTACATCACCATCCAAAACAAAGGTACATGCAAAACCTCTCAGAAATCTGAAGTGTGTGGGTAGAGGTGTGTCAGTGGGTGTTTCTGAACAGGGGTATATTTGTGGGGAAGGAGGACAAGCACAACAGAAATAGAGAAAGAAGCCCCATGTGCAGCCGGAAAAAATGTTCTGTGCAGCTCTAAGAAAAGTCTGGAGATCTTTTGAGTAAAGTTCTAGCTCATAGAGGCTTGGAGCTGTGATTCAAAAAATAGTATATTGCTGTAAGCTTCTTCCTGTATTTAAAGGCATAAAACTTCCTGCAGTTCTTCACAAATTGCATCAAAGAAACACTTGCCTCTGTCTTCAGTGTCTCTTCTTAACTGCATAAACCTACAAAATCTCAAAACCTCAAGTAACCACTCAGGTCAGAAAGGGTTATGGAACAGTATTTTTAAAAATGAACCACCAAACAACATTGGTAGCCATGTACAATGAGCTTTTCAATCCAAACTTGCAACTCTTCAAGAAGATCAAACTTGAAAAGCCACATGGGGTAAAATTTCCATAGGAATAATTTCAGGAATCAACTTCCATACAGAGCAATTTATCTTGACCAGAGAACCTCCTTTGACACCTGTGGTGAAACTACTAACTTCAACCAGTGTAGATTAAACAAATATTTTCCTTTCTCCTGTCTTTTCTCCTGTAATAAAACTTATCCCCTTAAATTTGTCTCTCTTGCCTACTGCCGCATACATCTTGCAAAAATCATCATAAGCTTCATGTCTCCAATACACAATTTTACAAAATTTCAGGTTAGGAAAGGTGACCAGGCTATTCAAATGTCCCCCTTTAACATCCAAAACGTCAATCTTTTTTTCCCCTATAAATTCATATCAATTAATTGCCTGACTCCTCTGTTCTCCTTCCTCTGTTACTATTGCTCTTATTTTCTTGAGTAGACTATCTGCTGATCCATCTCTTTCTTTCTCCCATCTCGTTTCTCTTTTCAGATCTTGTTTATTCCTCCCACTACTCTTCCTCTTTCCTTCAATCACTGTTTCAGTCCTCATTTTTCTCTCCTGACCTCCTCTCCTCTTCTCCTGTTCTTCCTGTTGATGGGGCTTTTCCCTCACTGCTTTTTTTCAATAAAGCCGCCTCCTGATCCCACCACACTTTTCTTTACTACCTTCTTTCATCCCTTCTTCCCCACCTTCATCCGTCCTTCATCAGACTCTGGATCTTCCCATCTACTCTCTGATTCTCGCCGCATTTGCTGGTCCACTTTCCCTTCCATAATTGTCACTCTCCTCTCCAAGACCACTGCCAACACTGTTGGCCCAGGCTCCAAGAAATCCTCCTCTTCCTCCATCCCTGTGCTCCATGACTATCCCCCCAGCACTTCTGGCATCAGTCCAGGAAATATACCAAACCTCCATCCAGACACTAGACTTAGTCTTAGCCAAAAACAGCCAAGAAGTTATGCCACTGATAGGAACCTACCACAAAGATAGGTTAGTGCAACCCATCTGAATAAAATATATGGTAGTGTCTCTTAAGCAACGTCCCCCTCACCACCAACTCTTTTTCAAGTCAGGGTACCCAGAATCCCCCTGTTGGGTCCTCTCTCAGTCGAATGCATATGGTTATTGTTACCGCAACCTCAACAAGGTGAAACCAGGCCAGTTTTACCTGAATCTCATCTGCACATAAATTTTTGAAGCCTCCCATGACTTGTGACAAGAACACCCCCAGTTCCAGTCATGAGTGAGGGCTAATTAGTACATGGATCTTTGTGGGGGGTATCTGGAGTACACACACATGCTAAGCAGTGCTAATCTGTGGGGTCACCGTTGCGGATGGGGCCACACTAATCATATGTGCCAGGCAGAGAAAGGGACCAACAGAGGCATTCTGGATATGCAATGTCATGGCTCATCATGACTTGAAATGCTGTTCCCCCTGGTGGCCCCATGCAAACCATGGTAGCCCAGTAAACTAGGTGGTCAATTATAAGACTTTTGACTTTGGACTAATATAATACAGGGGAGATTCCATAATCATGAAATTGGTTTTCCCAAGGTGAGGCCTATCCCCTGTACTCAAGACAGGCTGATTCCTGCAAGTTTCCCCAAATGCAGGAAACTCAACTGCACAATTTTGTGGCAATGGGGGACTGTTTTCTCACTTTCTTACTATAGTTTCATGAAACTAATATATAGTATTAGTTTATTAGCTCTGAAGTTTTTTGCTCCCAGATGTGCAGTTTGAATGTACGCCCAGGACCACAGCACACTGAAACAAGTCAGAGCAGCCCCAGCTGGCAAGGTGCCTGGGGAGGTCAGCCGGCCACCCTGGGGCTGCTTGCTCTAGCTTAACATGCTACAGAGGGGCTGGCTGGGGCACAAGGGTGCTAGCCAGCAGGCATTTGCCACACTGAAGCACCGTCATGCTCTAGCTAGCTGGCAGCATCTACATATGCACTGCTACAGCATAAAAAACTCAACAGCAGGATAGTATTTGTGTTTACAAGTACTATCCTGCTGTGGAGTTAATTAATTTACTCCAACATCATGGGGATGCACATGTAGATGTGCAACATTTACTGCAGCTAATTAGTCTACAGCTCAGTAAATATGTGTACACGCATCCAGTAGAAGCCAAAGTGCTGCTCCAAAGTGTTTTTTATGAAACACCTGTGCTAAAATTTGCATCAGTTTTAAAAAAAAGGAAGCATGGAGCAATTGTGGATGAACTAAGTCTTTAGGTACTATATGCAAATTGCTACATCCATGTGTAATTTCAAGGTTTTTTGTTTTAAATTTGCTTTTCACTTCTATGGGATAAGGAAGAGCAGGGTCTGACAGTAAGGAAAGGGGGAAGGGGCAGCCAGGGTAAAAAGTTGGGGGGAAGCAGAGAGCAAAGCAGTACCTGATATCCCAGATTTTTTTTTTTCTTCATTTCTGTAGCAGTGCAAGGGGGACAAATTCAAGGCAAATTTCCAATATTATATTCTATGCCTGGGAAATTATAACAAATTTATAAATTTTCCATAAATAGAATCTAATTATTGTGGGGTCATCTTATAATAACGGTCATCTTTTATTTGAGTAAATACAGTATATAACCTAACTATTCAGAGCGAGAGATAAATATACCCAGGACAAAACATGATTCAGAAGTATGTGCTTTTAACAGTTTCAGAGATGCTTTAATTTTAATGCCCTGTGAATCAAAGGTGATTGTTGAATGATTTTTAATCTTCTATTGTCATTTTTATCTTATTCCACACAATGGTACAAATCCATGTGACACTCCACTGAAACATTAAATTGCAGGCACATCTATGATATTTTGCAAAGTAGGCAATTTAAACATTTTCTTAAAAACAAACATATATATATATATATATATGTCTCCTTGATTGAAGCATTTGTACCTTGTTTATGCAGATGATACTAATATCAGGCTCCTGGTAAACATAGCTACTTGCAGATTTATTCATTTCAAGGCAAATGTATGCCTATACTCAGTTTTCAAATGGGATTCACTTGAACATGTACCCGGCTGTTTGACTCATTTTTGAAAGATCATTTTTATTGTGTAGTTTTACCCCACACCAAATTGAAATGTAGTCAAGAGGAAGAAAAGCTATTAGTCATGCTAAAAGCAGATTTGCTGTTTTGAGCAAGTCATATACATAAACAAGAGTAGTGATTTAAAAATCAGATTTTTTTTCAACTCTATCTTGATGTTTGGTGTCTCTTAAGCTCGGATACAAAACATTTAAGCATGGACTTATCTTTAAACATAATTTGAAGTCCATCATTACTGAGCATATGTATATTCTGATGGAGGTCATCTAAACTAAACAGAAATCTAAAGTTAGTGCATGCTTAAATATGCTTTTTTGTGTAAGTATGCTGGCCCTTTAAAAAACTTTAAAGTTCTGCTGGCTAGACTGGCTATAGGCAGTTGATTAGGAGCAGGGGCTCCAAGAAGGTGTATGTTAGATTTGACTCTCAGTTGTTTCCCTTTTCTTTAGCTTATTTATTAATAAAGTTGATCTATTTCTGAAACCTGACTAAGGCTCCTTTGCTGAACCCATAACTAACGTGGGTTGGATCATAAATGCCTTGGTAGATTGATTGTGATTCAACAAAGGCAAATTCCAAACTGACAAAAATGAATTACTCACCCAAGTCTTTAAATGGCACTCTACCTGTGAAGTTCTGACTTATCAAATGGACTCTGTCTGTAACTCTTAATATTTAAAAACATAATCTTTTAATTACTTTCATCATGATTGCCAGGGTAAACAAATGAAACCCAAGAAGTAGCTCTGCAAATGAGGGTTAATGCAGTATGTGATATACCATATAGGACTGGACAGTTTAATACAAAGGTTAATCCTCAATAGAAAAAGTTATTCCTTTCTGTGCTGAATACCTCAAAAGCTGAAGAAAGAAAGTATTGCCTCTTAGATACTTAATTATCTTATATTATACAATTATATTGTATATGCAAATATCCAGAATTTGATGAGGTCTTTACTTTTCACCTCTAAGCACTACATTAGTAATTCATGAAGCCACTACTAATGTTGCTGTTGAGTGCAAGATTCAGTGAAAAATTAAGCAATAATGACTTAAAAGGTAGAATAAACACAACATAACTATGCACTTTTGAGGTCATTTTTGCCATTTGAACACAAATTATGGAAG